CGCTCTCCCGTGCGCCTGGGTCGTGGCCTCTCCCGTGCTCTCGGGCCGCCCTCTCTCGCTGCCTCCCAGCCTTCTCGCCCTCATCCCCAGGGCACTTGTTATTTGGCGGCGCTCCCTGCTTTTGCTCCCAATTCCGAACCCTTTGCAACTGAAGTTCTGCCTCTCGGTTAGAAAAGTACCCAAAAAGGAGAGGGAAAAGGCCCGCACAGGCACATCCCTCTGGGCTGCTGTGGGGGAGAAAGGGGACCAGCTTTTCTGGAGCAGTTTGTGCAGATGCAGGCGTCCTCTTGCCAGCGCTGGCCTCCTCTGACCTTGTGTTTCTGCTTTCCTTTCCTCAAGAAAGAGAAATCCAAATCGAGTAGCAGCACTGCCCGAGAACCTAATGGCTTCCCAGCTGACACCTCTGCCAACTCCTCTCTCCTCCTGGAATTCCAAGGTGAGTTGGCTGAGCCCCCTTTGAGCTGGGGAAGGACTCTAAGGGCCCACGGAATCTGGGGTGTCACTGGCTCATGTATGAGCAGCACGTGTCTTCAGTGTGGGGTTGTGCTGATCCAATGACTGTCCCCGCTGACCCTGTTCATTTTTGCTGTCAGAAAGAATCTTAATTCCTGTGGGGAAGCTTCATGGGAACTGGGGAGTGGGGGTTCCTCTTCCCACTGTGCAGTCCCTGCTGAGCCCGCTGCGTGCAGCTTGGGATGAAAGGTCAGGGGCTCTCCTCGGCCCCACTCTTGCTCCTGGAGCACTGCAGCTGGCCGCCAACAGGCCAGGCTCCAAGGTGGAGCTTGAGCAGCGCGTGGAGTTGCTGTTGGAGCAGAGCACACGCCTGTCCCCTGCCTCTCCACTCGGCTCTCGGTGCAGTCAAGGAAAACGGGGGAATGTGTTGGCACTTCCAGCGCTGCAGGTCTGCAGTTTGGGGCTGCTTCATCTGGAAAAGATGTGTGCCAGGATTGCCTCCCCGTCGGGAGGAAGGAGCTGAGCATCACTCCTGCTGTTAGGCTGCTGCCTCGCACGGAGGAGAGGAGCAGAACCCTGGCACACAGGGTGTACCCCTGGCAAGCTGCAGATGCGAGGTGGGGCAGTGCAGCGCACTGGATCGCCCCTGCGCCTGCTGCTCGTGCTTTCTGAGCTGTCCAGGGTTGCGCTTTGTCTGCTCAGGCTCCCTCCCCAGGCAGAAGCGCCTCCTCACCTGCGGGCCAGTTGTGTATCTGATGCCAGCCGTGTGCTGGCGGGGAGTCCTGTGCCTGGCAGCCCTAACGCTGGCAGTGACAGCGACTCCCTGTCTGTGCCCCTGACTGTGCTCTGCCTGCTTCTGAAGACCCTGGCTTGAAGTGCCGCTCTCGGCTGTCTGTGCCCGTGGGTCAAGGTGCTCTTCTTCACTAGGTGCTGTTTCTGCAGATGAGAATAGCAACCAGAGCTCCCTGTCAGATGTCTACCAGCTGAAGGTGGACAGCAGCCCCAACTCCAGCCCCAGTCCCCAGCAGAGCGAGTCCATGAGTCCTGCCCACACGTCTGACTTCCGCACGGACGACTCGCAGCCACCCACGCTGGGGCAGGAGACGCTGGAAGGTGGGTGCGGGGCTGGGAGGGGAGGAGGTGGACGGTGGGGGCCAGGGAAAGCTGTTGCTTGTCTGGTGGGTGACAGAGGTGCTGCTGGAAGTGGGCAGGGAGAGCTGTGTCTTCTGCTGGAGGTCTCTTCTACTGGCTTGGTGCTGAGCTGGGTACTGCCATGCTCCCGGGTCGGCAGCTCTGCTAACCCTTCTGTTCTCCCCAGAGCCCTCCCTGCCTTCCTCGGAAGTTGCAGATGAGCCTCCCACTCTCACAAAGGAAGAGCCAGTCCCACTTGAGACCCAGGTAAGGGAAGGGAGATTGAAACCGCATCTAAATGCACAGTGAAAGCCCAGGGTGTCCCCACAACATGACACAGCCTTGTCTGGGTCCGCGTGGGCATGCTGAGCCCCAGCCCCTGCCTGTGACCTGTGCCTCTGGCTCTTGCAGGTAACTGAGGAGGAGGAGGACTCTGGCGCGCCGCCTCTGAAGAGATTTTGTGCTGATCAGAACTCTGTGTGCCACACGGCCTCGGAGAGCTAGCCTGCGCATCCCCGGGGAGAGCGCCTTCGCCAGCCCCTCGCAGAGCTGCCCTCCCTCCCCTGGGGGACCGGGTGCTTCCCTCCAGCCCTCCTCTTCCCTGGGGATGGGCCCCGCCCCCCCCCCCCCCCCCTGCCATGCTCTGCCCTGCTCTGGGGGCAGGAGCCTCCCGGGAGCCCGCACTCCCTGGCTGGGTGGGGCTGCCACCAGTACCTGCAAATTTGCCTCTATTTATTGGCTCCCCCTCTCCCTGCTGCCCACTCCTGTGGCCTGGGGGCTCCGGTGAGCGCTTGGTGTGCGCAGGGGGGTCCTGCCT